AAACCCATCCACTGCTCAGTGTGACCTGCACACACGTGGCCCCTGTCACGCACACACAGGGGGGCAGCAAAGATGGGTGGGGACAGAGTGGGGCCTCCCATTGTGCTAGCCCAGCAGAACAGAGGGACTGGGCCACACAGGCAGTAGCCCCTGTCCAGACCAGATGCCACAGCAGGGACTGTAGGGACATGGGACAGAGTGATCAAGAAGCTTTAAAACAATCTTTCCACAGCCAGAGAGCCCTGGTGAGCTGTCCTCAGGGGCACACCCTGACCACAGCCCCATATGCTGCCAGCAGCTGGCTTCTTCCACCCTCCCAGGCCAGAGGGCAGTCCTGCCTCCACACGGGCTGCCTTCCCTGCCTTCCCCAGAGTGTTCTGCGGCCAAAGAGTGCCTGATGGGGCGGGGCCAAGAGGCAGTGAGGCTCAGAGGACCTTCAACACCCAGAGGGCCCGTGGGAGAGGCCCTGGGGGGAGGGGCACCTGTGCGGCGCCCAGGAGGAAAGGAAGAGCCAGATGCCAAGGAGGGGCTCCTCCTGCCCACGCCAGTGCCTTCCTGTCGCTGGGACTGCATCTCACTGGCCCTGGCTGCCTGTGGCCTGGGAGCTCTGCAGGCCTCTCCCAGGACCAGCGAGGTCTCAGGTACCCCAAGACGCCCACATCTGCTCACCTGGCCTTCACACAGTGGCCAGCAATGTTGCTCGTTAGTAAAGCCAGTCCCCTCAAAAGCTGCTGGAATACAAGTCCCCTGGGCAGGCTGCTAAAATAAAGGTCCCCCAGACGGGTGGCTGCCCAGTGACCACAGCCAGGTTCACAGGGCAGGGCCCGCTGGGCAGACTGTGCAATGCCTTAGGCCCTTTCTTCTTTGTTCTCTGTGGCAAGACAGGGTCAGAAAACAACGCCCCTTGGCTGTCCCTGGGAAACAAGGAGAGCTCTGTCTTATTTTGCCCCATAAGCTTTAAAAAAAAAAAGAAAGAAAAAAGTAAAAGAACTGTGGCTGCTTCTCGTGCTGAGAAATGCCCACTCTCATAGAGCCAGGACCACACGCATGCGGGGTCTCCTGGCATCTCTCCTCGGGGTGTTCTGGGTCTCCCGCATCTCTCCTGGGGGTGTGCTGGTCCTAACATTGCTTCCAGTGCCCACCCAGCTTTCTCCGGAGGAAGCAGCCCAAAGCCGGGGCGCAGGGTCACCCCACTTGCCCAGGGCCACGTCCGGCGGTGTGCTAAGCACCCCTGGGTGGGGGGCGGCTTGGCCCATGCCCTGGGTGTGCTACAGCCAGCACGTCTCCAGATGCCAACACCTGTGCACCTCACAGAATTCCCCCCACAACTTCCAACTGGGCGGAAAGAGTGTTCTTGAATGTATGGGGGTGGGTAGCTCAGACAGGCCAAGTGACTTGCCGAAGGTCACCAGATATTAAAGTGCAGAGCTGGGGCTGGATCGTCAGCTGCTGAGAATTGGGAAGACGGCCGGGAAGCTGGGGAGCCCGGCTGCGCCCTGCAGGCCTCGAGCTCGGCGACCAACAGCCGAGGGACACCCGGGATC